TTTTTTTTTTTTTTTTGAATTCAACCAAAAACAATTTATTTCTCTAAAGCAATCTATTTCTCGCCTGAAAGCTCGGAAATTCCTTTTTTGCAGTTGAAGAAACATTTATTCAACAAGTACTCCAATGTTACGTAATTGTTTGAAAAGATGGATTTCTTGCAAATGGGCACAAAACATCATACAAAAAAAAAAAAAAAAAAAAAAAAAAACAAAAAAAAAAAAAAAAAAAAAAAAGGCGCTGCGATAAAAAGATCTGCATTTCTCGTCTACTAATTGATTCATATTGGAAACTAGCTGAAATTCAGTGAAAATGAGATACCATACAATTCGGCCTCTGATTGGCTGAAGAAGCACGAGCGACCTTTGATTTTTTTTTTCTTTTTCTTTTTGAGGTTATATGCTAGAATATATCTAATAATATCTAGAATATATGCAGCGCTATATCTAAGGGGTTGGAACAGTTTATAGTAAGCACAGTACTACACGACCTTGCTGGAAAATAAAATTAAAGTATTGGTTAACGATGGTAAAACTATTGGTTTTGAACAACCTATATACGACCTTTTCTAAAAAGTAGCGATGATTTTTGATCTTATATTGAGGTTGGATTGATGAGTGCATTAAGCGAAACCTTTTCTACATTTAGAGGTAAGAGAGATTTAGAGATTTAGATAGAAGTAAAATGGACTAATGTGATTTACCGGGTGGGATCAAGTGGCGTCGATCATTGTGTTGATATGGGTATAGCACGGGTGATAAGTGTGTCTTTGATAGTGGTTATATAACACGTGACGGCCGGTTCCATAACAAACGTGATGTCATACAGCGATACAGTTTTACCGGGCCAGGTTGTACGAAGCCTGGGTAGCACTATCCGACGGATAAACCTTATGCAGTGGATAATATTTTTAGCGCTATCCAGGCTTCGTACAACAGGGCCCAGGTGTTTTTGACCTAACGTACGCGCGCGCTTGCGGATTTGAGATTTGTTCTGTACTTTAACTTGTTTTTAGCGCGTTTTTCCCTTATTCTTTTGATTACTTCTTTATAATCATGTATTAACATGACTTCATAAGAGTATGCATTTACGCCTGTTTATCGATTAACTATCACCAATCTTTTCACCTGGACAAAGGACTCTTAATCCGCTTTTAGAAAGTCGTCACTACCGATTCAGATAACCAGCTACGAACAAATAAAAGACGAGAGAAATCCAAGGTTAGCCAAAACATAGCAGTTACGCAGTGAAGGATAATCTAAGCACAACTCGACAAGATTCGCCATTAGTTTTCAGCATGAAGAACATTATTTTTCTTCTGTTTTGCTTTGTTGCGATTCTGAGCTGTGCTGAACGAAGCGATGGGTTTTCAATGAATCCTGGTGAAGTCACTGGGAAGAGAAACGAAGTACCGGAGGTAAGGCGTGGCAAATGAGCCAATCATTGTTAAATGATAGAGTGTGTCATTTTACGTGAGAGTAGTCTCCAGAAAGACTGTATGTTGTTGGTGGTGACTGACATCAGGTACGAGAGAGGATTGAAAAAGTCAAGTGTTTGAACCCAGTTTTGTATGCGAGTGTTGAGAGTAATGCTAGCCGAGAGTTGTCGTCAGTAAGAATGAGCCAACGCTGAGCATAAAGGATAACAAAAAAGTGATATTGGTTACATCAATTTTTTGAATCTGAAAATAAGTTTGCGCGGCTACGGAACCTCTTCATTGATGCGGCAGCCATGTTGGCTGAATCATCAAGAAGAATGTTTGCCCTGCTATCCTCCTATTCAAGCTCTTCAGGGTATTTTCAGGCTATGGTTTTAATGCATTTTGATTAAGTGTATTAGCTGGAAAAGTGTTTTATTCATAATCCAAAGACCCAGAACTGAGTTGGATGCGAAACGATTGTCGAGGTTGATTATGATACAGATAGACTGTATACACCTATTTCAAAAAACGTTGTCATCACCAAAGGCAAAAGGTCATTCCGAGACGGGAATGGTTTCGTCGAGTACAAACAACATTGAATCAGTCTCAACACTAAGGTCCAAGTCATTTCAACTATTCTTGGAATGAACCGATCTCCTATTCGAACTGGTCCAAGCCTATCGAACGTAGCCTATAGACCCCTTGCAGCACTTTGGAATGCAACCCAATCTGGGGGACAAAACAATAAGTTGCAATACTCAGGAGATTGGAATTCTGTCCCCGGATCGAGCTGCTTTGACGTCACATGCAATGGGTCTATACTGGACCAACTTTAACCCCCATTCACCTCGAAGGCTACCCCTCTACGTCCTTGAAGGCTTTGTCACCGTCTATCGCTCAACCCCCAAATTCAATATACCCTACTGGACTAATACCGCTCTTTTTCGTTTTGTTCGACAGATGACCAGATCACTGAATGATTTAGGCTTTTGCGAAGCTGCTCGTGCTCGATGTGGAGGCCACTCTCGTGACTCTCAACAAACCAGTGTTAACTAGGAGCCAAACAGGATTGACTAGTGTTAGATGAACCGAATGTTAGAACGAAAACGAGTTTTAGTTTGAAAAAAATGAGTCAAGTGTATAAGTTCATATCCTCTTGGTTATAATTAAAGATACAAAAAAAATGCAGAATGTTACCATTATTATAATGTATTGCGCAAGAATGACGTCACTTATTAAACGAATATAATTCAAGCAAACATACTCCGATTGACTGTCATGTCTTTGTTTTAAAGGCGGGAACTTATCTCTAGAGCCTGCGATCCTCTTGATCAGCAACAAAGAACTCTTTCCTTACTCTTTTCTCAATCTACGATAATTTTTGGTATTCAATTTGAAGTTCCCGCATTATTTTACTTGAGACAAAGGCGTGAATAAAAATTGCTTTCATTCAAATCCCTTCCGCTGATCGATTGGGGCACTTTTTCTTTTCGTGTTTGAGAGAAGAACCTGCATGTACGGCAGATATTTAATTGCAGGCTCAAACTACAATAACAGTTATACGTACATCAACAGTTCCCGCGATACTGCTCTAAGCGCATGCTCAAGGGGCTGAAAAGTGGGATCATGTGTTGTAAAAATTGCTTTATTTTAATTGCATGTCTTATCAAGCACCATTTTCATTAAATATTCAAGGCGAAGTAGCGTCAAGCTAACACCAATTCAAACATACCAAGTAATTTTTACAACAGATGATCACTCCTTTTGATCCCTTGAGCATGCGCTTAGAACAGTAGCGCGGAACTCTTAATGCATGTATTTTTCTCAATGTTCAATGGCGTTCTTGTGAGGCATGGCCGCTATATCGAAGGAACAAATCGAGCGATCTATTCTTTATTCTTAAATCGCTCAAACTTGGATTCAGCTGAAACTTCCTAAGAATACTCTTTAAAAGGTCCAATAACCACTGTATGAAGTGTTTTCTCGATATTCAGGACAAAAGTATATTTTTACGATTATTTTTTGGACTGTGACGTCATACACTCAACATCAAGCATTGCTACATATGAAGCCCAAAGGGTTGCTAATGTGCTTATTTCACATTACTTGTGACTATAATTTATATTTTGGGGTGTTCGAGTATTTCTTTCTCCCTTTACTACTGATATTTTGATCATAAACTACAGTCTCCATGCAAAGAACACGAAAAACAACCCCAACGCAGGTATCCAAATTGTTTAACGGACGTTTATTATTTGATTTATCATTAAGTTAATCTTATGTACAACACTTAGGTATAAAATTATGCTCAGTACGAGTCAACATCATCCCACACAAAAATAAGTAAACGAAAAACGAAACTTTGGGATAACAACTAAGATCATTTGTTGTAAAAAATATCAGGAATCAACAAACTCAAGTGGAGCATCTCCATACTGTACTTAATGGGCAGCGATGGAAAAATCAAAACTCAACGAAGATAAAGGTTTGTTAAAATACTGAAAATATGAAATAAAACTAGTGAAGCACACATCACCAGATCTCACAAGAATAAGAAGTTACATATAGTGCTATAGATTATGTTATAGAATGATTTTCCTGACACCATGAAATAGTTAGTAGACTACTAAAGGATTGGTAACTAATTAACTCGCTTCCATCGAGTTTTGGGTGCACGAGGGAGGATGCTAAGCACGAAGGAAGCGTTTAGAGTAGCACGACACTTCCTGCGTGCTTTAATACGGAGCAGCAGCACGGAAAAAGCTGGTAATCAATCACAGAGTGTGTTGTATTGTTGCAGTTATAAAAGAGGTTAGTAGATCCTAGTTCCACGGTTTTCTTTGTCTCTGACAATTTTGTACTAACTACCCGAAACTGTTTCACGGTCTGAGGAAAACCACTCACGATGTTGACTTGTGAACACTTTTACACTGAATATTGGTAGTCATTGGTTATGAACGTCATGAAGGGAACAATGCTCCATTCATAAAACTAATGGTATTTGGCAATCACATGTATGTTACATACACGAAGTACTATCAGACAAAAACTTCAAAATCGAGTCAGAATTTTAAAGACGTTTAACATAAATAATTTATGACCTCGAGTAGTACTTCATGTATGTACAGAAACATGATTACCTTGTACGTTTACTGTTATAAATACAACGCTATTACATACACGACGTTGTTACCTGTTTGCAACATTGGAATAATATAATAGATCTAAAGAACTAACTCTGCCTATTCCCTTGAGATTTAGTGATGAGTGATTTGTGAGATTATCCCTAAAAGGCTCCATTTTGTGCTAGAAAAACGATATAGAATATGGTATTTAATGTGACATGAAGATCTTAAAAAAATGACATTTTTGTAGTAATCATTCAATATTGGAAATAACCTACTTCCATTAGTGAAAATAAAAAAAACCAAAGTACTCTTCATTGGGGAGTTACCACAGGAATCCCTAATACCATAATTTTATGGTACAACTGAGAAATCAAGACCAGAATGCATCTATTTTCTACCCTAGCAAAAGCCTATTGAAGACCATACAATGACTACACGTGAGGTATCTACCCTTACGATTCCTAAGTTTGGTAAGCCAGTGTCTTCTCATAGTTAGTAGAGGATTTGTCTCAAAAAATAATTCTCAAATAGATAGACTTATTGTTTTCGATTCTTTTAGAAGCCAAAAAATACATGCTGATCATATATTTAACTGTGCGTTATCAAATAGCATCGCATAAAAATGCATATATAATAGATATATATACAATATATTTAGATAAGTCTGCCAAAACACTAAAATTATACTCGTTCCCGTTTCCCGAATGCAAATATTCAACACAAAAAAATCATAGCTCATTTGGTAGACACATGTCCCGTTGGCGATTGTAAGAAATGTTATATATATCTTCATTAATAGAACACTGAAATTGCTATTCACAACAATTTCGAAATTGACAAAGTGACGCTTGGAAATTATCATCTTAATCCCTAAACCAGGCGAGGGTGATTTGTAAATACGAATACTATGTTAGCACTTCGTGTACTGGTAATCAATTGCAACACAGCCCAGCTGTATGCTGAAATGATACATCGTTCATGATTGCTTGAATCATTTGACACTTATTTGTGATTGGATAGTTTGTCCACTTCTTGCCAGTGATTGGGCACGCCCAGTTCTTGCCAACAGTTGGATGACAAGAATGTCCAATCCTTATCAATGACTGGTTACTTGCTGATCCAACTTGTATAAGGACATACAATCTTCATTACTAGGGGGCTTACTGTTTTGCTCCATTCTCACAATTTGGTCAGTGATTTATCATATTGGTTAGTTTGGTCAATGAGTGGATGCTCTAATCAATTCTTGCTAGTAAACGATGCGAAATTTTTCACCCCTTATCGATTGCTTGGAACTTGGACCAGTTCATATCAGGTATTGAAAAGTTTCTCTGTACATGGTTTTAGTACCATTCTTGATAACGATTGGATGGCTCGTCCCATCCATCCAATGATAGGCCAGTTGTCCAACTCTTGCTAAGTACTGGACACCTTATCCCAATCTTGTCACTGATTGGCATGCTATTCCAAAGTGATAGCTCTTTTCATTGATCTGAAGAATTTTTCGATTTCTTGTATCTCATTTGATGTTCATCGTTTGAAAAAGGAATTTAAAATTACAAGCTAGCCAGCAATACGAATGCTAAAAAAAGAAAAACATAATCAAGTCTTTACTGTTAAAACTACCCTGTGAACAACCTCACGGGGGAAGGGGAGGGGAGGGGTGTCAAAGCAATACACCACATCGACACCATTACCTCTATTCATTGTTAAGAGAACCCGTCTGTGGTTCATCAGGAGCTGGTCCCTGATCGACGTCATCAGACGCAGACTCAGAAGACTCTTTCTCCTGTTGTTCCCCTGTTACGTCATCACTGGTGACGTCATCAGTCTCTGATGACGTCACGTTAGGTTTCGGAGCTTCTTCGTCAGCTGTTTCCTCTTCGCTCTGTATAGATTCTTTGACTCTGTTTTCCGAGTCTTCTTCCCCAGCAGGTGAGGGTTCTTTGCCTTCTTGTTCAACTGTGTCTTGCTCTACATCATCATCGTCATCACTTATTTTCTCTTCAGCTTGGACAGTATTGCTCTCGTATTTACCAGTGTCCTTGCTGTTATCATCACCATTTTCATCACTATTTTCATCAGGTTTATCACTATTTTCATTATCATCCGAGATATACTCAGCACCATCACCTCTATCGTCACTTGGCTCTTCAGAGGTATCTGGCGCCCCGGCAAAGTATCTGACGTCTCTGTCAGTGTCTATTTGTAGTTTCTGGAGCGCATCCTCTAATATGTCTCTTTCCTTACACTCAGGGGTGCTGAAGTATTCTAGAGTAGGAGAGTAGGAGACCCAAGTTAAAAGAGAGTGTATTTTACAGAGACCGATCTAACTTCTTTCCATATCTAATTAGTAAAAGTGCGCAGTTGTTATGATCGTTTTCGCGCTAATCGAGACAACAGTCGCGACAGGGAAATCAGGCAGTAGCCTACCGTCAATCAAATATATTGTTAGAGTAGTTTGCCATGTACAATATATTTGATTGAAGCCTTGTCTTGATTAGCGCGACGCTAAATGAGGAAAGGATTGTAAAGAAAACTGGTCACTAACCAGGAAAAGAAGAACCTAGACAAATAATAAACCCAAACCTTTTTGTGGTTAGAGTATATCAAAAAATCAATAACGATAGTAGATATGAAGCACCGGTTCAAACCGGTGGCGCCTGATGCAGAACCGGCACTTCATATCTACTAACGATCATTTATTCCCAAATGTATAAACTTACCACAGTGAAGTATATTTTTGGTAAGAGTTCTAGCAACGCTTAGTCTAACGTTAGGAATCCTATCTGATAAAAGGTGCAATAGATTCGGTAGAAACTCTTTGCAAAAATGAATTCCACTTTCGGCATTGTCTTCTAGAAGAGTATGGCATAGCTGTGCGTAACTACGGAACAGTAAAGAGGGTGTAATTAATGGAAAATCCAGTAAAGAAAGTTGAAGTCTTCTATGCACGAAAATCGCATCAAACCAATGTATTACCACACCACACGAAATACCAAAGAGCATTTTTCGTATGAATGTGAAAAGCTCACGGCACGATCACGCTCGTGACATAGGAAGGCATACGCCAGACCAATCACATTGCGCGAGTATTTAAACTCCATCCAATCAAATACCCGAAACACGGTATGAACACGGCGCGGACACAGTCACGCCAATATCAGGGAACTGCCAGACCAATCACAATGCGCGAGAAAAAAATTAGCCAAAAAAAATACTAGAAAACATCACGGTCGCGGTAAGGCACGGCACGCTTACGGCACTTTGCTTTTTAGTTATGCAAAAACTGCTCTTTAAAATAAATCAAATAAACACCACACAGCACCACATCAAACCAAATAAACGATACCGCATTACCAACCACCACCACCACATCAAACCAAATAGACGATACCACATTACCAACCACCACCACATTACCAACCACCACCACATTACC